TTCAATCGAGATTTTCACTTTGAAGGTTAATTCAACTTCTCATAACCTACTTAAAGTCCCACGTGTTTCGTAAAATGTGCATCCTACTGTAAATTTTACACAAAAAAAAAAGAAAATGAAATCTTTATAAGATTCATTTTTTATTGTAATCCTAAGCAATCAAACTTCAAAATAACTTAGATAATAAACTTTTAGAAGTTGTAAACTCTTGTGTAAAGTTTAAATAAGATTTCCTTGATACTGTAAGTACTGTCAGATATGATACGTTTACAGAAAAGCGCCTACAAATTAGCACTAAAACATGTTCCTTTCAATTTCTCTAGGTCAGTTATGAATAATGTAAAATTAACATTCATTGGAAAAAAATTTATTTTGATACTTTTACAGAAAATACATTGTTAAACAAAAATCACCCTTCAGTTCACTATTGAACTTAAGCCAAACAAAACGTATTTAAAAATAAACGAATTCTTCAAAAATGTTGATATTTTAAACATTTTGTTTAATTTTTGAATATTTTTTAAGGTTACAATAAAATAAATAATCAAAATTTTAGTTTATTCAATGCTCTTTCTATTAGTGTAAGAATTTTTGTACATTTAATGTAATCCATTATATTTCGTGGTCCGATTACCCAAATTTTTTTTTTCAACTAATCAATATTTTTATGTAAGGTATTGGTTGAAATGAAAAAGTTAGTGTCACGAACGGGATACGAACCCACGACCTCCGGCTCAATACGCCGCTGCTCTAACCACTTAAGTTATCGTGACGATCGGTATTATTTAACGTAATTTTTAATACGGGAGATTTTCTGGGGCAATGTTGCGGAAGTTTGAAGTAAGATTAAAACTAATAAATCTCATATGCAATTGATAATAAGAATTTATATAATAGAAATTTTTAGTCTAATTTAACATGGAGTATAACCTTTTGAAGTAATAACATCTGTTCAAAATGGGGATTACTGAGAAAATCTGTGCATATGTTTTATAATTTCAGTTAATCTTATTATATATACAAGGTCGAAAATAGAAGAATTTTGTGCATAACTGCATTCGTTCGATGAGATAAATAAAATAGTATAGTATGTTACAGGATTTTCAATATACGTTCCATTAATTAACCTTTTGTAAGGTTTTGGTTGATGTAGAAAAGTTAGTGCCACTAGCGGGATTCGAACCCACGACCTCCGGCTGCTCTACCACTTGAGCTATAATAATTAATGAATAATTATCGCACTGTAATACTTAAAAAAACACGTACCTTTTGTCTAGTTACACTATTGATTGCAGTTCAGTGCAAGTGACGCAGACCAAATATTTTACCAGGTTTACCATTCTAAGAGGTTTTTAAATACATTCGTGATCTTTAGCCCTCAAAAAGACTAGAAAAAGAAAATAAATAGTCTGTGGTAAAGGGAGACTTCAAAGATATAAAATATCTAATAAATAAAGGAAAGTTTGAAAGGATGGTTTGATAATATAAAAATATTACACGGCGCTCAGTTCAATAGTTATGAATGCTGTAAAAGCCATGACGGTTTAGCATAATCGTTCAGCCGTGAAAGTGAGAGAAATCCATTCCTTTAGAGTGAATTGAAAGTGTTTCCTTTGTTGCAAAGGAAGTTTTTATTTATATTCCCCAAACAATTATTTTTAGTTTTGATTAGTTCTTAAAAATAGGAAATTTATGGAGAAATTTTCAAATGTATTGGAAATAAAACATCACTTAATACGAATTTGCTGCTTAACTGGTTTATTTACTAGAGACTAATTGCACAATTCTATTTAACCAATACATATCGTTATAGTTAAAATTTAAAAAATATAAAATTTATTTACAAATGTTTAATTAAGGTTTTGGTTTAGATAAAACGTCACTGTCACGAGCGGGATTCGAACCCACGACCTTCGGCTAAATATGCCGTTGCTCGACCACTTGAGCTCTTGTGACTTAGATCAACTCGGACACTATCTCAACCCTACCTTTTGAATTTTCCCTCGTTTTTGCCATTTTTCAGATGTCCTGAAATCTATTTGATTCTCGGCGACAAATGAAATGGCCACGGAGAACTTTAGTGAAGATACTTCATTTTGCTTATTACATCTACAATATTAGTTTTCGTGGTGGAGTGGAGATGGGAGGTTGGTGTCGGAGTAGTTCGAAGTCACGATAGGCCAAGCGGTAGAGCAGCAGTGTATTTAACCGAAGGGCGTGGGTTCGAATCCCGCTCATGAAACGGGCTTTTTTATCTCAACAAAAAGATTAATTAATCGAACACAATTTACTTGGTCTAGCGGACCACGAAACCTAATGGATTTATTTACAAATATGCAATCGTTTAAGGATTAAAGCTCGTAAGCGTGTTAAGAGAACACCTTTTCTTCTGCTTTATGAAACAAAAACTTCAAAAAAAAATTTATTAAAAACGATAACTTTAATATTTTATCACCTTATTTTATCTAAATTTGACAGATAAAAGCTGAAAATACATTTATACCCCTGTTTCCGCAAAAAGACAAACTTTTTTTTTTGAAGTTTTCGTTTCATAAAGTAGAATAAAAAGTGTGTGCTCTCAACACGCTTACGATCTTTAATCCTTAAACGATTGCATATTTGTAAATAAATCCATTAGGTTTCGTGGTCCGGTTAACAAAATAAATTATGTTCAATTAATTAATCTTTAATTAAGGTTTTGGTTGAGATAAAAAGTCAGTCTCACGAGTCGGATTCGAACCCTCGGCTCAATACCCCGCTGCTCTACCACTTGAGCCATCCTGCTTCGATCCACTCAGACACCACCTTCCCATCTCACTCTACAACCGTTCTAATTTTCCTTCTTTTTGCCATTTTTCAAATGTAATCAGGATTCGATTCTCACCTACTTATGATCAAGCCAGGGGTGTTGTTAGTGAAGTGATACTTCTTTACTTATTAAATAATTAATATTAATTAAAATACATTAATGAAAAGAATAATTAATTGAAATAAGTAATTTGGTCATGTAGATCAATCTCAAGTCACGATAGCTCAAGTGGTAGAGCAACGGCCTATTTAGCCGAATGTCGAGGGTTCGAATCCCGCTCGTGACACTAACTTTTTCATTTCAACCAATACCTTACATAAGGACTAATTAATTGAATGAAGTTATTTGATCAATCGGACCACGAAATATTTTTTTCATTGTTGTAATCACTTTTAAAGGGATTAATATTTTATGTGATGCGGGGGACTTTATGGAATAAATTTGTGAAAGATCGATAAGTTAACATCTCAAATACAACTGTTAATCAGAGTTTTGAAAATAGAAACTTTTCAGTCTACGTAGGATAAATTTCTAAAGTATTAATGACTGCATACGCGACACCCTGTATATGTAGAATTTTTCATTTATTTCCTCAAAAAATCGGCAAAGGATACCGAAATTTTATACCCGGTGGCATTTTTTGTTTTTTGTATTTTTCATTCACACAATTACATGTTCACTAGGTTTTGTTAATATTGCATGTATATATACTTGAATTGATTTGTCAAAGGCTCTCCGCTTTTCAGAATCATTATTCAATTTTAAAACACCCAAGTCGTAAAAATAGGCTCTAGCTGTCGCTTTGTACAAATCCCTCTGTGCCGATCCCTCCTACCGAATGAACATTCCAATTTATATGCAATAGAATTTTCACATTTGCACATTCGCTCAATTTATGCCCTAAGAGAATGGACGCGAAACGATAAAATGAGCCGCGTACCAAGAAATATTGTGTTACCAAGGAGCCCTTTTTATATAATATTCATACTACACTCGGGTACCTAAGGGAAATTAGGGATACTTCTGCCATCCCCTGGATCTAGTATTGTATCTTACTTTGAATCGAAATCACCTCCTCCTTTATATCCAGCGCTAGACCGGAAAATTGAATTACAAAAAAGCCTATTGATTCGATCAGGCGAGAAACATTTTTCTCTTATGAGAAGGAAATATAAGGAAACTCGATATACCAGCACATGATGGGAAGCTGAAGATTTACTTATCGCAAAAAAACTCATTATAATAATTAAACAAATAAATTGTTACATAATGAAATTTGTCAGTAATCATCATAATCTCATTAAGTGCGATGTGCCCCGAAGTACATTTCCTAAAGTAAGAAAGCCACAATTTTTGGGTCTGGCCTAATCAAAGTTCGTCGAGAACATTTTCCACCGAAAAGAGAGAATATCGTACAACTTTGACCCAAAGGTTTTAGACGGTAAATATTTAATTCATCATCAACCCAATCATTGCCTACTGTAAATTGTAAACCACTCTCTGAAATACCGAAATAGAGCCGACTGTGCTAGATACAAAAACGAACCCGAACGTAGTGATTTAACGCCTGTTGAGCAGATTTAATTCATTCGTGTTTATACCGTCAGCGTTTAGAATGAAATTAAATTAAATGAAACATTTATACAATTCCCTCGATTTTACTTTGTTGTACATTCATTGACGTTAAGACAACAAAAATATTTCTAAATCGTCCCCAGATGTATTATTTATTGCGGTTAATACAAATAAATCACCTTTTTCATTTCTTGCGTTGCATAAAGGAGCATTCGTGTCCTATCCTTTATTTCGTGTATACTACTTATGCTCTTATTTACTTATACAACATAATACCATCATCACTATCCACTCTGATGATACCACACCTCCCTAACTCGAATCCTATCCATGCTTCAACATCCTCCAACTTGAGCTTGCAAAAAGTGGAGGAGGAGGTGGAATGAAGAAAAATTTACTCAGTGTACGTTCAAATTGAGAACACCCCCTCCTATACACGGTAAGTAAGTTGATATTTGGTACAGTTATAAGTAACAATGTTTTTCATGGCAGGGTAAATTATAAATCCAAATCAAACATGCATTTACTGGGTCTCTTCTGTCTGTTTGTTGCCGCAGGTTTAGTTAGAAATATTAAAAGTTATTTATAAAACATTATTTAATTAGATTTTTCTTACCTAAATGATGGTAGTATTATCTGCTCGTACTCTTCCACAGAACACTCCTGAATAAGGTAAATAATCGGTTGTAAAACAGACGCTAGTACTTCTTGCGTTCTCATTTCTTGTTGCAGGCAAGGCCACACGTGTTGAAACCACAGTTTCTGGAAAACAAAATCGGTAAAAGATGTGTGAAATGAAAAGAATAAGCAAATTGCCTAAAAGTATTTAAAATAATAATAATCTAATATCTGTTTGGGGAAGGGTTTTCGTTAATTTGAAAATACGAGATTTCCTTACCCATTATCCCACTGGTTCAATGTGGGGATTAATTTTCCAGATCTCAATTAATTTCAGAGAAGATGAATAAATTAAATATATATTGTTATTAAATTGAAGATAGTTATCCAGAATATTTAATTCTCCTTTCCCCTTTTATCTTTTGAATAAAATGAAAAATATCTAAAATTTGAATATATGGCATGCACACATTTATTCGGGTAAAACTATAAATAATATGGTTTTATACATACATAAAGAATATATTGTTATAATAAAATATAAAAATAAATGTATTCTTACTTGATTTAAAAAACATAAAACAAGACCAGATAAAATTAAAATAAATTTTTCTATTTGATTGAATTGAATTGAATATTCTATTGATCTATATATATATAAATTAAAATTAAACAACTTCTTGAATTACGATTATTTGACCAGATCGTGGTATTCGATTGACCAGATTGAAACAAAATGAAAATTATTAAATTTTAATGAAAAGAAATGAATGAAAATTGACTTTAATAATATTACTCATGTAAAGGCGTGCACGTTAACTATTAATTAAATTAACTTAACGACTAAACTTGCATGCAATAAAATAATAATAATAAAATAAAGTAAACTTAAGGATGAAGTGAAATGGCAAAGCAGGTTTGAAAATTGAATATGTGAAGTCGCGGGAATGATGAAGAAGCCACAGATGATGAAGAAGCGGAGATGATGAAGAAGTCACGGATAATGAAGAAAACCAGACGAAACGACGACGAAGAAAAAAATAAATATGAGATGAAGAAGACCAAAAGAAAATATAGCCTGGTGACGTCACGGTATAAACCGTAGATTCCCCGATCTTTTCGGCGGTGGTCCTTGATGGTATAGGGATCGACGATGGGACGTGACGAAATCGATATAGCAATCGATAGGCCGATGTATGGGAAATAGATGTTCTGTATTTCAAATTTGCGCAAGGACTGCTTCTCAACTTCTCATGCTGGATCAAGGGTCCGCGATAACGGCTAATCCGTTCTTGCTTTGTCCGCTTAATCCGTTTTGGATCGCGTAATCAACAATTATTTGAACAAAATGAAAGATTTATCCTTGATACATGTGTAAAATAATAATTAACTTAATGCATGCAAGCATAAATCAAACATAAAAATATATAATTAAGAGGGAGAAAAAAAGGGTGGAGGAGACTTCGTAATTTACGATAAAATATAAAAGAAAAAATGCGCCTTAACAATATCAGATATGTAAAAAGTGGCTGTTCGAAATAAAATTCACTGGATCTGCCCAAACACCCTAAAACCCTTTGACTATCAAATATCCAACACTACAGTAAGGTCCAGTCATAAAACAATTTCAGGCAACGAAGCAGCAGATGCCCTAGAAAAAGAGAGCTTCGGAAAAATTATATAATCGTAAATCTTCTGCTGTGGTATAACAAGAGCCACATTGGTAAAAAAATGTATGGTGATTGGTGACCGTTAGTCTATGATTATTCAGAAATCGTGAGATGCGGTCTGGTGTGATGTAGGTTTCACAAAAACATTTTCTTTGCTGGCCAACGTTTCGATCTTTATTGAGATCATCTTCAGGGCTCAAAGTGTTTGTTTTCTGCCTAATTGTGCCATTTTTACATGTCGTGAGGGCACTCTCAACACGACACACAAGAATGGCACATCTACACAGAAAACACATTTTGACCCCTGAAGATGATCTCAATAAAGATCGAAACGTTGACACGTTAAAGAAAATGTTATTCTAAAGCCTATGTCACACCAGATCGCATCTCACGATCTCCGTATAATAGTTAAGAGAAATGTTTTGTATTTTCTATTAATCCAATTAACCTTATATTAACTTTATATGTATAATCTGCTCAATAAAAGTTTCATTTTTGACCATAAAATGTTGAAAAAAAATCACGAGACAAAATGAAATAACAAAATCCTATTTTGCAGTCCCAACATGAAAATTACCCTAATTTGATCCTTGTCCATGTTTTATCACAATATTGAAATAAAATCGAAAGGGATTTTCTTTTGTCTGTGAGGGCACTTTCAACACTACACGCAAGAATGGCACAATTACGCAGAGAACAAACTCTATGAGTCCTTAAGATGATCTCAATAGAGATGGAAACGTTGGCACAGTGAAGAAAATGTTTTTCTGAAACCTTTGTCACACCAGACCGCATCTCACGATATCCGAATAATCATTATTAAAAAAAACTTGAATCTTGAGCTGCTAGAAAATAAATAAACAATGTATTAGGAGCCGTAATCAAAATGACAAAAAATAGTCCAATAGAAAAAAAGAGAAAAGCTTCACAGAAATTATGTAAATTCCAATTTAATAAAGGAAATGTCGACTATAGTAATAAAGTAGGGAAAAAAGAGAGCATATCGTAAGCAACTAAATAAACTAGGTACGAAAAAGGTCTGGACATAAGAGCCAGTTCTGAGCAAATGAAGACCTCGTTAGCAATCCTCTGAGGTTAATTGTGTAATTAGGCATATCAGCGCGTACGCGGAGATATATGCGATTTGACGATGATACCAGACGGTGAAAGCTCTGCCAATCTCGTCTGTACCGACTCCCTGAGCGCTGTTTCGGCTATTGCTGACAGATTCTCGGTGGAATCTTTCATGGAAGAACGGTAATAGTCGTCTGGGTAGCAAACATGTTGGTGGAGAGAAACAAAAAACGATAGAAGCGTCAATGGTCCGGATTGTCCGAGGAGCTCTTACGTGCCAAGAGCGCGACTGAGAGTTTACCGAAGTCTGAAACGAAAGAAAGGGATCGTGCCCAACCATTTAGATAGGCCATACCAGATTGACAAGCGGCCACATGCTTTCGGAACAAATTCTGCGTAGGTGTAACCCTTGTATAGAAATATTTGCTTCGTGTATCACAATTGGTCAAACAATGTCTTGTCCCCTTACACGGAGCGAGTAGGCATGGCCAGTCCTTGGGCTCGAGATTTGTGTTGTTGGATCTTCTGTCCCTAAGAGATGTTACCCCATCTACAAATATTATAAATACTATTTATAATTTTTGTGTAGTTATATAGTGTGTATTTATGAGTTTGTAAGAGGGTAGATAACGGAATATCGGGTACCCCATCGATTCTCAGAGTGCGGTGGAAGCAGACTCCATAGTCGGTAGCCAACATTAAAAAATTATAAAAAATTAATAATTATGTAACTTGTTACAAGGACGAAAATCTTCCGGAAAATTCATTAACAAAGATTGGGGGCAAAAGAAAAAACGTTAAGTGCGCAATCCTTATGACTACAAGAGGAGAAAAAAATCAACATGTTTTCATATAAATTTTTACATTTATTGTCATCCCACAACTGGCTTTATAGATTTTTAATATATTTTAAACATAACATCGTTTATAATTTTAAGATAACATGCCCCAACATTCTGACACATGATAAAATGTTACTAGTATTATTATTTCTTCATTATGTATGTATGTAATAGGTAACTAATAAAAAACGTGTGGTGATTAGTGACCGTTAATCGATAATTATTCAGAAATCTTGAGATGCGGTCCGGTGGGATGTAGGTTTCAGAAAAACATAATTAAGAAAATGTCAGACCGCATCTCACGATTTCTGAATAACTAATAAAAACTTTTAATGTAAGCACGTTCTTGCAATAATAAAACTTATTTTCAACTGTTGTCTAACGATCGATCTAATATTGTTTACATGTCACACACTATTTTATGGGTCGTAAATCCTACTATAGGAAGGCCGTTAAACACAGAATAGTCTTGTACTTGTAAGATGTAAAACAATCATCTTTGACAGTTATAGACATATTTTGTTAGAAATGTCATTGATCACGGTTGTGATAGTATCTTAAAAAATGAAATTATTTTTATGGAATCGTGTATAAATAAATTCAAATAATCAGCTAAAGGATAATAACGCATTTATTGTTTTGATAATTTCAATGCTTTCTCTTCCAAAACACGAATGACACCATTCATTATGATTATAATCATGTTAAATACAGTTAAAAAACAGAAGACATTTGCCAAGAAAAGTGTATTGCTTCGTTAACCAGGGAGACAAAAGTGTCAATAGTGATGACGATAGTCAGCTAAACATTTCTGAAAATTCACTAGATTTGTGGTCCGCTTGACCAATTAATATCTTACAATTAATTTAGATTTTTAGTTGAGATAAAAAAGTCAGTGTCACGAGAGGGATTCGAACCCACAATCTTCGGCTAGATTTGCCGCTGCTCTACCACTTGAACTATCGTGACCTCGATCCACTCGGATACTAATTCGAATCCCGCTTTTTTATCTCAACTAAAACCTTAATTAATTGTAATTTCTGAAAATTATGAAATGTTAAAATATCAGATTTTTTAAGTAGTAATGGTAATGTTAAAAAACTGAAAAATTGACGTACTATTGTGCTACGTACTATATAACTAGTAGTTTAAGTAGTACTGGTATGAATTATTTAAGGGCCGATAAACATCAAGGGGTCATCGCCGGTCCTCTTTGCTTTAAAGGAAAATGCATTGCGTATTTTTGCACATTTTTGTCACTGATTCTCCCATATTTTTTCTCCTGTTTTCTTAATTTGATAACCTCTCGAAGGTACTTCTGTTCTTTGAATTACTTAAAAAAAGACAGAAATACACAAACCCGGGTACATTTACTCAACTAGAGAACTCGATAATCCTTAGGGCGGGTTTAAACCATTCACCTCAATCACGCTAATAAATTAATTTCAGTCTCAAGGCAACACACACTCACCAGAGAGTGCTGGATATTCCTTAGGGTGAGGATAATAATTAATTTACACAAACACAAGATAGACATACTCTTTACAGGGTGTTACAG